AGTTTACTCAGGACAACAAATTTGCGTTAGACAAGAACTGATAGAGAGAGGCAGTTGGCTAGTATCTGAATCTGAATAGCAAGTATATGAAATAACGATAATTTCTGGGAAGTATTACTAATTAATGAAATTATGAAAGCGTCAACCCAATAACGTTGTATTCTGCCTCACGCAGTAAAGCGCCGCCACTAGTAAGCAAGAATCGATTTGGTTTATTTTTTTGCACTTTTAGTCAAGAATAATGACTGCTTTATTTGGATATTTTGCTGCTTAAGTAATCTATCGAAATCTTAGTCTAATATATATTGAGTCGAAGCTAATCGCATCCGTGATGTACGTGCATTAGGTATAAGGTTTTTTTATCATACGCTATCTGGCACGACTACATAATTCCATAATGTTTCTCCCTATTATTTATAGGTTAATATTTTGCCGTGGATGATTTTTGCTGGCTATATCGAAAAGCAGAGGGATGAATTTCTGAACGAAAGAAATAAGCAATTTATGAGAAAATTTACACTACAGTTATGGTCAGTACCTTTAATTTTAAAGCACCTGCCTTCTCTTAGAAATTCTTGTCGATTGGCTTAAATATTTATGCATTAAGTTTATATGGACAGTTCCAAGAGTATATTAGCTCAAGGTTTAGAACGAAGGTCGAAGATTTACAGAATTTACCATACTTGCAAATCTTACCGCACAACCTACAGTAGTTTCAAATCTGATATTTCGACCCGATTGAACCTTGTCGTCTTCTGTAATATTTCTTGAAGTCATGTCTTCAGAGCCTGTTTTAAGTGAAATTGGAGATGGCCGCCTAGTCAAAATGGAGGTGGATTGTAGCGGTCAAGTGGACGCTGCAATTCCAAAGGCAGAAGCTTTGGCTAAGGTTGACGTTTGCGTTTCTATTTTCTTTCTTCATGCATTCATTTAGAGCGGTAAACTTACGGAAGCGCTTGCAGAGTTATTCGCCTTGGAGAAGCTGACTCGCCAGGTTTTTACTTTTGTTTTCTGTTGGCTGTAATTTTATATTCTTAAGTTTTTTTCGTTTAAATTAACGTGTAGTAAAATTTCTAATAAGTGCATAACCTGACTTTGATCAACAGACTCTTAAATTCTGTAATTCATTCCAAAGAGTTACGATTAACTTGCGGTCTTTTAACGAAGTCCACCAGGAAGTACAGCAGATACTTCACTTTTAAAAAGTTATGTAAGATTACCTAAATTTATTACAGATTTATTTTTAATCGTTTAGCTGTTATTTTGAGCAGTTGTACACAAATTGACTTGTCTTATTTATGGAGTTGGTATGGATGATGGAATTGCTTCATAACAGTTGTATTATAAAGTAGTTTCAAGTTTATCAGGTACGGTATGGTGATTAGTGAAGATTTGTGTTAACGTGTTTTTCTTCCAATGTTCTGCTCGTTCTACCCTGCTTCTCGTATCATAAGTAATAACGTAATCTCTCCCTACTGTAGACAGCGGTGTGTAAGAATATTCTTTATATTTATATTTAACAAATTTGTTTGTAATATGCAAGAGGTGACTCCAATTCTTTAAATGAGTAATTTTGTCATGTTATGTGAATCGTAATTCTAGGTGTCTTTGTTGCCTCGAATATGGTAATTCAGTTTTTCTTTTTTCAAAGCTTGTCGTTTTAGTCTGCGGATATGCGATCAAATTGCCGTATTCAAGTGTGCATAGTGCAGCTGTGCTTTCAAGCTCAAAACTGGGAAGCCTTAAAGGAGAACATTATAGGACTTACGAAGAAGCGGTCACTTATTAAGCAGGTACTGATACCTTCCTTGTCATCGTGGTCCAGAAGCAGCAGATTATGAATGGCGTGGTTGTGTAGATTTATAGCATGTGAACCGGTTAAAATCTGTCTTGTGATTTCTCATAGATTTTTTCCGAAGATCATATATGTTAACGCAAGCAAGTCTCACTTTACGAGAAATGTCCAGGTTTGATATTGTCGTTAGATGCTTCTACCTCCAGTTGGCAGTTCCCAGAAAGGAAGTTTTTAAATTAATAGTTTAAAATCAGCAACTTTATTGGATAGGAGGACACGTAATATTCGCAATGCAAATTCTCTTACGAAGTCGTAGGGAAAACGACTCACTAGTAGACAGCTGAGCAAATGACCCACGCTATATAGAAGACCTGGCAATTTCACCCATTGTGTGTCTGACAACAGACTATTTGGAAGGCCTCCTTAAGTGCCCAGGACAGTAGACTTTGGAAATGAATGAAAATAACTGCCGAATTTGAATTTGTTTCATTGCCTTCTGTAGATTCTGTGAGGGAAGAATTAATTGCTACTTTCTTAATCACTTACGGACTTCCCGGGGTTCTTATATATGCACTATAAAATATTTTGCTCTTGCTGTCCTCAATTTCAGCATATATTTTATTACCATTTTAAACATGATTCATTAACACTGTCCATAAAGTAAATCATCCCTTTCTAGCATTGAAATGGAGATCAGCACCCCACCATTAACTTCATGAAAAGAAGGGGGCCAGAAATGACTCATAATGTAAGCGTAAGGAAGGTCCACTTTCCAACGATTGCAAAATTTCTTTTGTTTTTCGTTTCGTGACCAGCATTTTGCTAAATTTTGGGAGAGGCATCTGTGCCTTGCCTGTGCAAAAGTTGTTTGAAATCGTTCTCAGTTATTTTACCCGAGGAATTTAGGGCGAGGTGGCAATGCTAGCTTAGCGTTATGTTCAGTTTGATTAAATTATGTGTGTACTACAGCTATAATATTGCAATATTGAGCGTTTTAATATGAGTCTCTTTACCGTATTTAACATTTTCGTCGACTTCAAAGTCTTTTATACGTCTAAGTTTATTTTCTTGAATTCAGATCTGTGCTATTTTGCTGTTGTTCAGTGTAGTTTGTTTTACCAGAAGGACGGCAATGTCGTCTGTAAGCGTTGCATATATTATTTTTAGGCAGTAACTAACATGATCCAGGAATGTTGTACCTACGTTGACCAGATGCCGAACGAGACATTGAAAATCGACCTGATTAACACATTGAGAACAGTAACTGCTGGAAAAGTAAGCTAAAAATGCGTTGCCTAATTAATTTTCGAAAGGTTTTTGGTCACCAAATGATTTCTGCAGATATATGTCGAAGTTGAAAGAGCTCGTTTAACGAACAAGTTGGCAAAGACTCTTGAAGCCGAGGGAAAAATTGAGGAGGCCTGTAACTTATTATTGGAGCTTCAAGTGCGTTGCAGCACTTTTCAAGTCCAGTTCGTTTTTACTATGTGACTCTTTTGCAGATCGAAAGCTATGGCTCCATGGACAAACAGGAGAAGGTCGAATTTCTGCTGGAGCAGATGCGTTTGTCGCTTTTGCGTTCAGACTTTGTACGCGCACAACTGATTGCGAAGAAAATTTCGAAAAAATTTTTTACCGATGAATCTGTAGAGGTACTTGTATTGTGGTTGGTCGCAAAACAATCATAAAAATGCATGCATGGTTTTTAGATTCAAAAGCTGAAACTCAAGTATTACCATCAGATGATTCAGATTGATCAGCATGAGGGAAACAATCTCGCTATATGTCACCATTACATGGCAGTTTGCAACACGGAACTGGTGAAATCGGACAGCAGTAAACTGGAAGAAGTATGGTATTCATTCATCGAACGTTCTGTGATTTATAGGTTACTATCAAAATCAGATTAATCTTCAATAATTCTGTTTTTCTCAATATGATAACGCATCCAGTTGTTTTGTAAAGTATGTTACTCGTACGAATTCTTGATATTATAGCTGTAGTGTTTATGGCAATCATTTAATAGATTTTATCCCATAGAAACATCCGAAGCTGATTTTCAAGCTGAAACTATTGCTTTCTGGTTGATGCAGGTTCAACCTGCCAACTGTTTATCACCAAGTTTTCTACCACAATATTAAGACAACTAGCATTTCTTCCGACAGGGTTAGTGTTCAACGTGTTTTGCTTAGATATGGCAGAACGTCATTTACTCGAAATTGTTGTAGCCGCGAAAATTATCTTTAAAATGGTACGGTAGGGTGTCATTTCCTTACTCTCAAATGGTCGTCTAGCATATCACCATTAACCGTTGCTCGATAGCAGAATTCCTCGCGTCTACTAGGTGGACATAGATGGAATAAAAATATTCCAACCGATTCTTCCCTTCTTGTTTTTCTCCTCCTGTATTCCTTCTTTTCTTTTTTTCTTCCTCATTCTTAGAAGTTGCTTTAAATTCTATTCAGGGAACCGATTTATGCAACCCCCTCGTGATAGCTCATGGCAACAATACTTTGAAGCTTAAGCTTTCGTCTTTCAGCCAGACATTACTAGCAGTGAAAAATAAATAAGGATACGCTGAAAAAACAGATCATACCCAAGATCAAAGATCCATAAAATTAACCCAACTTTACAGGATGCAAACATTAATTGAAATATGAGCTGTATGAATAATCATAACCTTCATTTCTGTCGTTCAAAGCTGATTAAATAATAAACCGAAGGTGAGATTCCGAACCGCTTTGATGTCGCCCGATTTTTTTTGTCAGCCTCTAAGCGTTTCTTTTACCGCAGCGCTCGTGGCTCGATCACAGCCAAACCGATTCTGTTCATTAACTGAGCCATATCGTTGGAGCTGTCTCGCTTCTGCAATCACAATGCGCTTTTCAGCTGTGTGTCTGGCTCTGTAAAGATCTACCGTGATGTTTTCAGAACTGTAGCCTGATTTTCCTGATATTTTTAGCTCCTAGCTCCTATTCTTCTTATCTGTAGATCGCTACCGATATGACTATAACAACAGTCACACGCCCTATGCTCTTTATAAATTTCTATTGCGGTTTAGTTGTCAAAGCTGCTGCATGACCTCTAGTTGAAGTTATTTCAAATTTTAGGTTGATGTTATTTCAAATTAAGTAAATATTGTAATTGTTTTTCATTTAGTACTTTTTGTTAGATCATTAACTAAAAGATTGTTTTCTGATGTATTTGTGCTGCAGTTTTGTGATTTTCAGACATTGAAAAACATAGTGCTCTACATCATCTTATCTCCTCATGGAAACGAACAATGGGATCTACTGAATCGGATCGTGCAAGACAAGCAGCTAGAACTCATTCCTAATTACAAGTAGGTTTAACTTCAATGATTAGATTTTAGAATTATGTCTGTTACCGTAACGGTATTTAATTATATTTTGTTAGCCAAAAGCATTTTTCTACACAAAGAATGTCTCATGACTTTCTTTCGTTTGCTGAAGTCCACGTGTACTCAACATTGTCATCAATTGATCGCCTCATGGAGATCAGGCGCCGGCTAAAGTTAGGGAGCAAACTGTAACATTTAATGCATTTAAGTGTATTTGCTCTATTCATTATGGTAGCCAGTGGAAGTGTTATAAAGTATCTTTGTATATCGTTCTTTTCTTTTTATTTTTTGTGGCTTTATTTTCAACCCGTATCCCTGTCACATTCATGTGATGGGCACGCAGTTTCTTATTGATTCACATACCTAATTATTGCGGTTATGTCGTCTTTTGCGGATTTACATATGACAGTCACCCTATCCATTTGCTTCTAGCAGTTTAGGGGACAGCTTAAGCGGTACACGGGCTCCATTGTGAGCACCTGCAGTTCATGT